TAAAACTAAATGAATAATAATAATAATAATAATAATAATAATAATAATAATAAAATACCAAAATCAGTTGTGAGTTGACTTAACTACTATTGATTTGTCTCTCTCTCTTTTTCTCTCTTTGTTTAAGCTAACAGTATGCGAGTTCACCCCACCGTTGTTTCGCACCCACCAGTGCTAGCCATCGTTATTATTCAAGTAAATACATATGCCCCTCTCTCATATTGCTTGGAGCGAACCTCACTTATGTGCACACATGAAAACATATGCATTTTCGCGATTGTGAGGGTCAGAAGCCGCGAGGGAAGGGAAAGACAGAAAGGGCGCGTGAACCGGGGATTAATATTTACACTTTGCGCACCGCCACACCGTCACCACCACTGCTCCGTTGGCCTTGGGGTTGGGGGGAGTAGTACCCCATATTAATCTCTCTCTCCACCATCTGCTGGACTGCCCGACCTTTCCTCTCGCTCCACACGTCTAGTGGCTTGTCGTCGGTTTGTACTATGTGGATTGGAGGAGAGGACCGGGGTCTGTCGATGAGCGAGTTTTAATGGTGACAAACGTGTCCGACAACTTTTTTGGCACCTCCACCTTTTGACTTTTGCTTGTAATGCCCACCTGATAGTGGTAAACAAAATCGGTCCTCAAAAAAGATCTGGAAGTATGGGTAGGAAAGGAGACGAGAATCAAGTAGTAGAGATCAGCGTTTGGTCAGACGCTCGCGAGCGTGAATCTAGTCTGGTATCAAGCCAGCGATTAATCTATAGACACAATTTTTTTTGTTTTGAACACCAATATAAGATTGGATCTTGACAGAATAACGATCACAACATGATAAGAAATAATGATTTGATCTTTGGTTTCAAGCACGTTTAGAAAAAATGTGAAAAAACAAGTTTTTGATCGAAAAATTGACACCAACTTATTGCAACATATTTTTTCTCTTCATAGCTATTTCTGCATTAATTTTGAGCTACTATGAGTAATAAGTGCAACAGTAATAAATATTAAATGAATAACATTTGTACTTGCATGCAAGATAAAAAAAATATGGCCAGAAAATAGTGTACCTGATGTAAATAGATTTCTTTTTTGGGTTGGCTGGCAAGTCTAGAAATTAGTTTATATACTTATTCATGTACAAATCCTCACCTGTACTTACCACCTGCTCGTTTTTTTTTTCAAAAAGCTCCAATAGCACGCGGTTGAGCAATAGTGACAACATAGTCGGATGGAAATATTTTACTTTTGAATTAGAATAAAGAGACGAGAGACAGAGACAAACAAGTTTTCATGCTCATACTTGAGCATTAGTTTGACGCAAAAACAACTATACTTGGTTGGTCGGTTACCTTCTATTTATACCAATTTAAAAAAATTCGCAATCCCAAACAGAAAAAAGCACTCCCCTCGCTCTCAACACCTTTCCATCCTTACAATGATTTTTTTATTTTTCTTACCCATAGATGTGCACTCATATTTTTTTATACCAATACACAAATTTCTGCCTTTCACTTTTCAGACGAGTGCAGTTTTATATTGACCAGTAGCATTAGCACATTTGCATCTGCGTAGCAGCAGCAGCACTTCGTGACCAAAAATGTTTGTACACGAACTGTGCAAGCTAGCTCTATCCATTATTCCTCTCTCATTTGCATTTAGTGTCGAAACGGATAAAAGATAAAATAAAACAAAAACATATTCCTGCGTGAAAACCAAAAGGTATAAAAAAATGTATTTTTGAAATGGAAACAGAGAAGGTATATGCACGTGCATGAGTGTGAAAAAAAAGAAACGACAGTCATAGTTTTTTTGGCAGGAACTCCCGTGAAGTTGACTGTGTATTTTTCTCCAGTGCTGTGGTGGCTGCAGCAGTTGCAAACAAACAGGTCACGTCTCGTGGACACCCTCTCTCCTTCACCTTTCCTTGAACGTTCACACTTTTTTCATTGATCCTACTCCTATCCTTTCCACCGTTTTATCATCCTGGTATTACTATCTCCTCGTGATTTCAATTTAAAGTTTTTTTTTATGTGTTTCCCTTTGGCATATCCTCCGAATCATCATTACGAAAAATAATATCCCCACCATATGGCCATCATCACACGTCCCTGTAGGACCGACACGGCGGGGGTGGATCGCTCCACTGGCCGTTTTCTTGACAAGTTGGTTTCCGCACTGGCTCGAGCGGCGTCACGTAGCCCGGCGAGCAGCTCACCTGTATGGTGTCGCCCGATTTGTACCAGAACTTCAGTGGCGCTATGCGCCCGTGGATCGGGTCGCCCGGATAGGGGCACCTCACGTCACCTGCGAACAAATAAAAAGACAACATCCCAATGAGGGAGACTATACCTTCATGGGATTCTTTACAACGATTTTAAGGTTTTGATGTGCACAACATGTTTATATTAAACAGCATCCACTCACTCCTCAAATATCCATACAACTATAATTACGCAGTTGATTAAACTTGCCCAGCCTGGAAAGTTTAATTGAAATAATAATAATAATAACGGTAATAACAGTTTGCTTTGCTTCCTGCTAAATAATTATGCAGTTGAAACGTATAGCAGCTAACTTCTCGATTTCAAACACGGACTCTCATCGTGAGGTACGGAAAAAGCAGACTCACGCAGTAGCCAAGGTTTAATGGACTCCACATCAGAGACCCACACCTTACGCCCTTCCCTTTTCGCTGCAGCGCGAGCAAACGATTCCCGAATCGAAATTGCGTTTACACGAGCAAATGACTTCTCTGCGTCGGAGCAATTAGTGCCTGCGTAGCCGAGGGTGCCAAGGAGAAGAAAAAAGGAGATGGACAGACGTACACGGCGACGGAATGATGTATGAGCTGCGATTACACCGGTTACCTTTATCTGCTAACTCGAAGGAGGGATGGGGCCAGTGGCACACGTGCTTGGGACAGAAGAGCCTCGGAGGGTCAGCGTAAGGGGAAGGAGTGATTTGGGGTGTGGGTGGCCGGATATTGCTTTCGCGCTTCTTTTCCCTCTTTTGTTATCTAGTCATCCTATCTTCCATCAAAATAGCCTATTTCTATCTTGCTTACCTACCTATGCTCGAAAAGGACAAAATGACTAAAAGGACAAACTGACATCCGCGTCTGTCGTTTAGGGACCAACAAAAAAGTGAGATTGCGATGATCCCGAAAACTATGTAAATACCAGGTATAGTTTACATTGTTTTTCGCTTCTCTTTGACTACGTGGTTGCAAGAGATATTATTTTCATATTTTGGACCGTAGCCAATACTTGATGAAAGGAAATGGATCGAAGGTGGTCCAGAACCTCTAGTTTTGGAAGTTTTGTACTGTGGGAAAAGTCGTGCGAATGTACCGTGAGCTGCGGTCTGTAAATATACCTGTGGGGGATGTACAGCTTATCGTGGAACTCTCACTGATTCTCGAAACGTACAACGAATTTTCTGCTTGTTATTGGAAACATTGAAGTTTGCAACGAAGGAAAAAACATATACAGTAACCACTATCCATTGTATCAGTTTTTTTTTGCTTCCCACGCTGTACCCAATGATCCGAGGAAACTTCCAATCAAGTGCTCTTTTATTCCATCCACGAGGATGGACAATGACCAATCAATCGCGAGCCAATTTGCCACACACACGTACACATACACACTATATATAGACACTATAGAGTACAGCAAAGCGGGACTTACATATTGGCGGCTGGTGCGACCACGTGCCGTTTTCGGTGCAGATGGCCGAGGCGGGGCCAACGAGCTGGTGTCCGGTCAGGCACGAGAAGCGCACCAACGAGCCCACCCTGTGCGTCTGGTCCTTGCGCCTCGACCACTGCTGCTGTTGGTTGTCCATCAGCTCCCCGTTTATGGGCGTCTCGGGCGTTGGACACGTTATCTCTGCAGACAGACAATAGTATGGAAATGTTTTTATTACTCAAAGAAAAATTTCAATTAATTATCCTTTTTATTATTGAAATTTTCTAAAACTTGTACCCCCAATCATTGTAATAAGCAGTCAGTATTTCCAGAGATATAATTGTAACGTAATAAACACTTGCAACTGGATAAACTATTTGTTTTTTTTTTTGGGTGGAGAATCAGTTGCTCCGTAGAAAATCGAGCTAAAAATATATTGGAAAAAAGAAAAAAAAGAAATACGACTGATTTGAGTACACGTACCCCTTACAGTCGGAAGTCCTAGTCGAATTCAAAGTTTTTCAATGGCTACCCCCGATAAACAAGAGCAAATAGCAACAACACACACAGAATGCACGCAAAAGTTTCGAGGGGCCAACCCTACAAGGCAGCACTTTTTCTCCCTGTCCCTCTCCAAGTGCGTGTAACTTCCGTGCCAGTTCTCGACTTTCCTCCCGCCTTGGATGTACGAGCACGTATTATACGCGGAGGAGGACGTTCTACATCTCTATTAGCGAAAACGCCTTGGCTCTGTGTAAAGTGGCCGTGCAATTTCCTCCTCTCGAGTCGTCCCGAGGCGCTCGAAGAGAAAAAAGGGGGTCAACGCAAGAAGCCCTGGAGAGAACGAGAAAGATGGACGTAGGGAAAGGGTATACACTCGCGAGTGACGAGCGAAGAAAAGACCGGAGAAGTTGCTGACGCAAGAAAGAGGGGTGGAAGTGAAAGTGGTCGGGAAAAAGGGGGCGTGGGGGAAGTAGAAAACGAGAAAAGTAAAATAACCGGGGGTGGAGGAAACAGTTTCAGGCGTCGCGAAAAGAAACGGCAAAGGGTGAGCGCTTTAACTTTTCGGAAGAACTTCGCTGTAGGCACTGCGTGGAGGCGCTGTACCCCATGTGTTTACCTGTTTCGCGGAAAATATACGGCGTGGCTCGATGCCACTGGTAAAAGCTTTTGTCTGTGGAAGAGCGAAATGATGATACCAGCCCTTTTTTCACAGCAGGCGGTTTTTCACTGACGGATAATGTGCTATTTTGCCGACCCAAAATTAATTTTTGGAAAAACTATTCATGGCTGATGAATTTATTTGGCGAAAGCATAGTACGGGAGACCGACAAATTTTCCAAGTTTTTTATTTTCAAAACAAATTTTAATTACCTGTTTGTTAAAAAATACCCAAGAAATTGATGTTTATACGTATAGTCGTTTATTCCACACCAGTTGTACACGAAAGCGTTTTTTATTTTGATCACTTGACTTATTTTATTAAACGATATATATTTTATTCCACCAATGTACCATCAAATACAACCCTATATTCTAACTAAACTAACGTTATAAAACTTTAATCATCAAAGAACAGCCAGAGCAGAAAAATAAACAATCCTCCATAAAAACTTTGACAGCTGTCCGTAAAATTGTCATTCTCGGTCGGGCCTCGAATTTTTAGCCGAGCGAACTTTCTTCTTTTCGTTGTCTCCATACGCGTGAACCTATATAAGACACCGTAGCCAGATAACGACCCTCCCTTTGTCAGGAGCATGGACCTCGATTTTTTTACTCTCCAGGAGAAGGAGAGATGGGAAAGAAAACACGACGCGGAGCCTCCCGCTTCCCGGAGACAGGTGGAAAATTAAGCTCTTGTTATTTGTAATTACCTTGGCTTTTATCGAGCCTCCCCTTTTCCCGGTCCAAAAGACTCCGTGACCATTTCGTCAAGGGCTACCGTTTTCTCTTGATGTTGATACCAGTTGTGTGCATCGTTGCCTTGTCGGATATTTGTTTGCATTTGCGAATTGAGCAAAGTTAAATGAGTATCCAGTGGTACAAATGTACTTATTTCGTGCGGTGCAATCTCGGACGAAAAGCAATAAACGAGGTCTGACGACGAGATTTGGTGTTAGCCGAGCTATGATAAAACAACTCACGTGGAAAGTACACAATATAAGCGTCCGTAGCTATCCTGAAACACGTAACGTAGAGACGCGACTTTAGGCAAGAAGTTTCCGTGGTCGAGGCAAAATTTTCCCGGAGCGTCCGACAAAATCATAAACCAGCGTCCAACTCGAATTCCAATAAACCGAGCGTGACTGTATAAAAGCCAAGAGTCTTCTCGAGACGCACTACAGTGGCTCCGGAGCCCCAGACATAAAGGAGGAGAGCTCTCTTGTATTTAATTACCCTAAAAAAGGTAATACGGCCCTGTTGTCCGTATTTATACTTCAGTCGTTTGGAATTGACGCTTCGTTGAGCAGTTTGAGGGGGTATTTCGACGAGGAGCTTTACAGCAGCTATCATTTACGAGGAACTCTACAGAGTTGGACTTTCTAAGCAAGAACCCGATTATCCTTTCCTACCCTTACCCATTTAATTTAAATAACACGAGTGAAAATGCACCCTCGGAGATAAATCGTTACTCTTTGATGCACCTCAAGTAGCTTCTCGACACTCAATATTATAAACTTACAGACTTTGATTTCCGCGTGTAAGACAATACACGCAACCAAACGTGAAAAAGGTTTTTTCGTTTTCTCTTGCACTCGATAGTAAGCGCATATGAAGAGAAACAATTAGAGCTAATTCATTGCATCCCTCTGTACGGATGTGTTTTTACTTTCTCTTCGGCCGTGACTCATGTAGGTATCAACAACCAGATAGATACGAACGTAGTGAACAGTTGAAGATCGCCCAGGCCTTTGGTAGGGGTGAGAGGAGGAATCATGATTAACAATCGTGTGCACCCCTCGTATCTTAATTTTCGTTGCTCACTGTAGCCATGCCGTAAAAAACAATACCGAAGGTACGCGTTTTAGATAAAATAATAATAATAATAAAAGGGAGTATTCTAAAGTTTAATTTATCAGTCGTAAGAATTAATTGTAGTTGTGTAATTGATTATAGGCACTTCTCGGACAATAACTTACCCAAGCACTTGGGCACCGGTCCGCTCCAGGTGTTGTTTCTCGTGCACTTAATTTTTTTGGGCCCAATGAGTTTGTGGCCCCACATGCAAGCGAAGATCGCCCGGCCGCTGTAAGTGTTGTTGTGTTCGAGCAGCAGTAGCTTGGGGTTCATGGGCTGAATGGGCGGACATATTATCGCTTCGCAGCGCGGCATGTTAGCCGACCATTTGCCTGAAAAACAAAAGTTCACGTGCACCCTTATCAACTCTTGTTGGTGTTAAAACTTTGTCCATGGAAATACGTTTGATGCGTCGAGGCTGACTTTTTTTTCAAAGTAAAAAATTTTCAGGTATAAAAATAATTCGTGGCATGAAAGTTACGCATTGAAGCACATAAAATGTAGTTTCATGGTATCTACAATACATGAGTATCTATTTTTTATTTTCTCTTTTGTTTTTTATCACTGGAGGGAGAAAAAAAATGTGTGAAAAAAAAAGAAGAGAAATCGCTCCTCGTTCCACCGAATCGCTACACGTTCCGAGTAAAGAAGGTCCGTGTCTTGTGATGTACACAGATGAAACTACTTGAGATAAGTGAGTCATTTGTTTCTTGACGACTTGGGAGAGGAAGAGAGCCAAGGTTTGGAGATAAGATCGAGGAATTCGAGGAATGGGACCACGAAAAAGGAAGGTACCCGAGAAACAAATGGTCCCGTACAATATTTAAATTGTACAAGTGTCTTAATCTCTTAATTCACTCACATGAGACTAAATACACTCACCGTTGTATTGGCAAGTGATGCTCGATGCTCCCTCGAGCCGATAGCCGTGCGGGCACTCGAACGTCGCAGCCTCGCCGAGTCGCGGACCTTCTATCTTCGCAATCAGAGGTGGCTCTGGTTTCTTCAGCTGCGGGCAGTGCACATCTGAAACAAAATACCCGATTTGTCGTTTAGTACTTATTCAACTGCTCGCACTGTCTCTTAATTGTTTATTTGTTATTTATTTTTTTCAAGTTTCGTGTAGTTATATCTTCGTATGTATAGTTCAATAAGTAAGGACTTTTTTACGCTGGTCGGCTTTGGAGCTTCAGGGTAACGAGGAATAGGAAGTATTTTTGGTGACTACGAGTTGACCCAAATCTGGCTGGAATTCATTTCCGCATCTACGACCACGAACTCGATAGCTCGGCCAAGGCCTCGATTCTCATCCAACTCTACAGTTTTATTGATTTGGTTCTGTTTGACGTCTCGAGGCACGTTTTACCAACGATGCGATAAAGGGTTATTATTTTGTAATTTTTTAAATTCATCTACTTGACGCATCGATGAACAAGTTAGATTTTCACCCTCACAATTTTTTTTTTTTTCAAACCGAGATTTCAATTCCACGAACGATCGATAAATGTGAACCAGTTGAATTCAAAAGAAGTTTTGAAACAGATTTTTGCTTCTCTGGTGGAAAATTTAAGTTTCATTGAGCAGGGAGAGAGTTTAAAAAAAAATTCAATAAATTTTCTTCTTTCACTTGAAACGCTTCGAGTTCCCTCTCGACTCGTACGTGTGTGGCATTTCGAAAATGCATCGTGGACCTGAAAACCACCATCATTCAGATGGCAACTGTAACTTTGGATAGCGGACAGAATGAAAAAAGTATTGCTCGAAATCACAAACGCGCAAAGTGAAGTCTTTGTACACTCGATATCTTTGAAGCGCACGAATGTGTCTCGGGGAGAAAGTGCCGAGTCGCGTTTTGGAGGTGTGCACTTCACCAAATGTCACTAGCAGCACTTGACTGACAGTCGCTTCTGGCTGTACTATAATATATATAGTTGTGTGCGCGCAAGGAATAACGAATGTCGTAGGGCGATTTTTGGTCAAACGGACGTGTCAGAATTCGAGGCATGGGATAGCGCAGTTGCCGATGGACAACTTTTCAACCTTTTTTGCCTGGAAATGAATGTAATAACCTTTTTTTTTTGTTGCCAAATGAATCATTTTAGAAAATTACAAGTAACGAATCCCTCTGGTTATTTTTCTTAAAATTATTTGAACCATGTGACCAACCTATTATTATTTCAAAGCTCCAAGTGGTTGTCTCCAACTTTTCATAGATTTAGATTTATAATTGCCACTCTATTGGCCCATCGATGTGCTAGTTAACATGGATTTGTAAAATAAGGCTACCAATTGTTATGTTTTCGTCGACCACAGTCACCCAGTGTGTGTATACTCACCGACGACGTGTACCTTGATGGAATTCGTGAGGCCTCGAGGTGTCGTGCAGGTATAGATGCCCGAGTCTTGGGTTTTCGCGTAGTATATCGACAGCCGATACTTCCAGTCCCTTTCAATCTGGGAAATCGCCCAGCCTGCAAACAACACAAAATTCCTTGTGTTTACTGGACTGTTAAAATATGAGCTGAGCGAGTGCAGGTGAGCACAAGAACAAAATCAAACAAACTCAATTGGAAAGAGAAAACATTCAATGATAATCTTTAATAATGCTTTGGGTAACGCTGCACTCTTAAGTTATGAAAAATAAGAAATTTTTTTTTCATGCCATTGTCGGTTGACCTACGTAGCTTAGTTGGCAGTAGTGTGGGCCTTGCAACCATAAACGACCGCTGTTTCTTTGTTTTTTAAAGTAGTACGAAACCAACCAGCATTGATAAAAAGTATAGTAAACTTTTAAAATTTATAGGAAATCACAGAATATTTTATCGTGCCTCCATTTCTATGTACAGTATCGCAACGATAAAATACCTTTGTAGCTTTAATGAGAGTTTCCAAAAAAAGGAGCTTTGAATACCAGCTTGTTTTCATGGTTTTCACAAAAAAAGATACAAAAAATTCTCAAAGCTGGCAAACAATTAATCACCACCTCCCTCATCACAAAGGCACAGCACGAGCATCGACGCCAACGTGCGCTCCGCAGTTTAAACATCGCACGGTTCGAGCATATGAGTGGGCGGACACGAGCTTTTAAAATGAAAGTGAGTAAAACGAGTAATGGATGGAGGGGCGGGGAAAAAAAAAAAAATTTCCAGCTCGCATTGGCGTGCGTAGGATTTGTAAATGGAAATTTTTGATAAAGTCGACGTGTGAGTGGGTGTTGCTACGCACACGGGAACCCAGGATTAATTCGCCCTGAATATTGGCTCGTGTAGAGCCCTTCGCCAAACAAATCGAGCGCCGAAATTTGGTTTGTTTTACACCCATAAATCTCATGCACCGACACCATGGGCATATTTTTTCATATGCTCCCGTATGAATATTTTGGGTACACACGTGAGATTTTACGTGTAATTTCGCGTTTGACTCACCAACGGTATTAATTATAGGCCCTGTTGATTTATTTGATGTTTTCGGGATAATTCATAGCGTGGATTTTGGTGAAATAATAAAATCAAAAATTTAATGTTAATACGCTCACTTGATCATATCTCACTAAAAGTCCGCCGGTTTAATAGTTTCATACATTTGTACATTTTATATTTATCACGAGCAGTGGGATGATTAAAAAAAAAATTAATTCGACTCATACTACGAGGTAAAACGAAAAATGACGGACTCCGAGTTACGAAATTAAAAGAAGTTAACGTAAAACATGGGTAGACAGAAATATACATTAATCTCCGTCGAACATAACTACACACTGTTACACGAAGTTATTTATACCCCTGAAAGGTGTCCCCGGACGATTCTACGCTCAACGTTCTATTCCCCATACGCACACGTACACCCGAACCCTCCCGCAAATTTCTCCGTCTAATTAAATCGGTCCGATAAAACATATCCCCCATTCCTCCGCCACCTTCATATTTCGCTGTGCCCACGTCACGCGAGCACACACTGGCACATGCATCGCCGAGTGTACGGGTACGCGCGGAGGGTCAGTCCACGCCAGCCAATCATCTTGGGGAGACGGTGAAATTGACGGCAACGAGCGTGGCATGTGTGCGAGCGATACCGGTGGTACCTGCAGCGGCATTAATCTGTCTGGCGGTGCCGCCGGCGCTTCTACCTTAACTACACTGGACGCCCGTCAATGCTTCATCGCGATGAACCGGACGATTGCCTCGTGCGTTGCGTGTGCGTATTGGCGATTCCTGACGTAAATAACTCTAGCTTCCTCCCCCCCCCCTTTACTACGAGGGATGTTTCTGGTGTTGCGAGATACAAGGGATGTCGGGGGAGAGGGTCTAAATCGATTTGTCTGCACGTGAAAACCGAGTTATTCAATGATACGGATTTTTAAGTGGTATAGACACGGTTTGGTCAGCCGGATCGATAATTCGATACATACAACCCTTTTAGATTTAAATGTATAATATCAATGTAAATATATGTCAGATGTCAACGTATTTACATAGAAATCCAAGCGGAATCAAAAAATTCCAGTAGTGAGTACAAAAAAATCCGCTCTTGAACTTTTTTTGCTCCAACTCTCTCACACGTTGTCGACTACTATTAAAACGGGAAATATATGGCTCTGGTAGATTCATGGACATTGGCGATAAAAATTTGGGTGTTTTAGAGAGCAAATGGATTCGAAATTGATCGCAGTACCAGTCAGTGGCATCAGGATAACGGAGGAATCATACGTATGATTGATGCAGATGAATGAGATCGGTTTCGACGCGACGTAGCTTCCACGTGTACCTGTTATCTATACGTGTGCAGTTATCCATAACAGACTAGGCTGAAATTTGTCCTAGCAATGGACACAATGTAGGTACAACTCGTGTGTCATCATCGGGAGATAACCGAGCATCGCGACATATTTTTAAAAGAAAATTCTCCAGGAGGGGTCAAACTAAATAGTCACGATTACGTTGGGGAGCGTTTGCATTAATTCCAAGACTAATCACCATATGATAGAGGGAAGGGGTGGACGGTGAATGTCATGGCCGGATGGAAAGTGGGGATGAACGGGGTGGTGACTTCGGCGACCGGCCGTGCCCGCAATATATTACGAGATGACACTACGATGGGGGAGGACGGAGACTGTGCTTATTTTTGCGTGTATGTACACACGCGTACTACGTCCGTACATGCGAGGAGGAATTAAATTTACGGGTCGCGGCGAAATTCTACGCTGTTTGAATAAGCGACTGGTGCTGACTTCCCTAGCCCCCCCTCGGTTTTTCTTCCTGTTCTCACACGGTGCGGCTGCAGAATTGAATTATGTTTCAGCCTGCTGCTATCACGTGGTGTGCGGGGCGTTTGGAAGACGTGGTTTAGGTTTTTATGGAGCGGTGCAACGGGACTTCTTTTGTCCCTCTAGTTTTCTCTCCTTGTCTCGCTCGCTGGCTCTCAGGACCAACAACATTTTTTTCGTCGGACCAACAACATTTTTAATTAGGTCAGTCGCTCTCCTAATCTGCTCATGGCAGTGGATTTTTTTTTTTTTTTCAACAGAACCTTTGGAATGTCAAGTTTTAAGTAATTTTAACTAAATTATGCATGATATTTGTAGTATGCAATTTAAAAAAAAAAACTTCTTTGTGAAATTAGCGAACAAAGTATAGTTTTACTCATAAAACTCTGATCAATTTTTTGGGTATTTAGTGCTATTGAACCATATGATGATGCACACTCTTGCAAAGGCTGGTACTCGAGACTGCTTTAGTCTTGAATCAATAACTATTAACAAGTTGTGACTGTACCAATCGACCTACCAAGTTGTCCTAGGTGATACGTAACTTTAGTTAATTTACCAGGAATAATTCAATTTCATATGTACATTTTTTTATTAAGGGTTACATATATTGTTTGTTTATACGAGAGTTTATATCGTGTGAGACAAGAAAAAAACATTTCAAAACATTTAAAGCAGATTCTTTCTTTTATAAAATAAAAAAAGGAATATCAATCACAGCTTCGCGATGAGTCAGCAATCCCCCGTCTTCCAAAAAGAAGCAAAATAAATCTAGCTCAACTACAAAAATAAAAGTAGAAGAAAAACGTGGAACAAAAACTACAAACGAAATGTCTGTGGGGAAAAAAGTTGTAGAGCTGTACTTACCAGTCAAGTATTGTCGAAAATTCGAGGTCCAGGTCCACTCGGGGTTGCCGAGGCGCCTGGCAAAGAGACACTCGAGATGCAGGATACTCCCAGGAAAGACGGCCAAGGAGCCCGAGGGTTCGAACGTCGCCGAACCCGCTGGGAGCCCGAAGAGTATCGTAGGCGGCACATCCTCTGAAACAAACATCGTAACGACACCACAAGGCGCACTTTATTGCTTTGGCGGAGGCTACAGAGGCTATCTATCTGTGCATGTCGCAGGGGTAGGATATTCTTTCGCATACAACGATCTCTTTGATTTGTTTTTTTCGGTTTTTTTTTTCGAACGTGACCGAAATTTTTCTTTTTAAAAAATCCTTTAGATCTTTTGGAGGAATTATCATCTAATGCTCGTTTTTATCCACCAGACCTGCCTAAGCATTTCACTCGCCTCTCCGAAACTCCCTTGTTAACAACCCATGGTAGCTTTCGGCTCTTTATCTCCTTGTACGGGACGCCTTCGTCATCCATTTGTAATTCGCATGTAAAATGCAGAGCAAGGGTCCAAAAAGAAAGCTCGACGAGCTCTGCATATTTACGAGTCATCCTTTTGTGGTGTCTCACAACGTACGCGCGCGTTAGGGAGTCCACAAAAAAACGGCTCATCGGAAATTCTCTACTCTCTGGACGCCTTCGTCCACTTCCGGGATAATTTTCCTTCTCACGCGTGGGTCTCTTCAAAGAGTCGACCTCTGACATTCACTCCAGAGGTTTGAACCTTCTGTTCGTCAAAGCGTGCGTGGAATAAACGGGGAGTGGTGATTATGAGGCGAGCCATTGACTCTGGGAAAGCTTAAATTCAGCGCAAATATGACATAGTTTCAGAGGGATCAGAAGGGCAGGAGGAGGAGAAAAATAGGAAAGAATCGGACGCAGTAGAGTGTTTTTTTTTTATTTGCTAAGCCACATTGGCAAACTAGAGGAAGTAAAGCTACACATTAAATAAATAGTGAATGAACCTTTTTTGAATCTCGTTTTGTTATTATGAAATAGTTGTCAAGTACAAGATACCAAGGCTGTGAATGTTTATTAATAATTAACGTATCCCCGTAATTTACTGTTCTGTTAAGAAAGAAAACGCTGCTACTTAATTTAAATGAGCACTAAAGTAAAAACTGAAATAACATACTCCTACGTTAATACGTGTCAAGTGTTAGCTCGTATTTTTCAGTAGTTTTTAAAAAAAAGTGTACGAGAGAAAAAAAAAAAACTTGACAAAAGGTACAAGGCAGTAGAAAAAGTGTGCTCTCGTAGAGGAAAAACTTGAAAGGAAAAGGAAAAAAGAGAAATAATAGCAAAGCGTGGCGCCTGCACTGTGTTTACTTTACTCCCTCGAAGAAAACTCTAAATATACGTGCGAACGTACACACGTGAGCGCTTGCACATATAGTCATTTAAAAAGTAAAAAAAAACTACTTTCTTGCGTATACGACTGGAAACTGCGTTTCAGACGCCTTGTAATATATCTTCGTGCGTCTTACCTCGAAGTCTGTCGAAGAATACTAAGAGACGTTGAAAAATTTGCTGGTTTTTCAAGTCATATTAATATTTGAGGAGAAAAACGTAAGGACGCAGCAACCTCGGCTGTTTCTTATGAAAATATTGGAAAAACCAACGTTTTTGATGTTCACACGCACAAAGAGATGTGAAGAGTGAGTGGATGAGGTAAGGTGTACAAAGATGGTCTGGAGGTCTTTGATGTCTGGATGCGAGTAAAAAGTCGATTCGTAGCTGATGAAAATATGAGTGCTTGCATTGCACAACCGTATATTTCTAGTTTTTGTTCACCTATGTAGATACGATGCAGTTAAAGAATTTATCATTATATTTTTTATTATTATTATCTATTTAGAAATGAAAGGCTCTCAATAAATCACAAAAGTGTACGTTTTTATAATTGTCTGACGAAAATTGATGTATACTACTTACATTCATGTCAGTCCAGCTCAAATCCATCAGAGAAACGAAAGTACGAAGACAAATTTTCTCTTGCAAAAACGAATTTACTCTTTCACTAGTGGCTGACCAAATTCAGTATGTACTACTGAACAGTATGTTAGTGATTTCCAAAGAATTAAAAAATAGTAAATCAGAGATGACAAATATTTGAAAAAGCTCAAAAAATATTACACAATGTAAAGAACAAACTCGCCAATTCATTTGTTGTACTAAGTAACATTTTATTTAAAGAAGAATTTGAAGAAGATAATGATAAAAAACTACAAAAGGAAAATATATTTTTTTGATTATTACGAAATCAAATTTTTACGAAATGGATAACAAAATCGAGTATACTTCTGAAAATCAAGTTAAGTGGGTTCTAAGATAACAATTATAGTAAGTTACGAGTAAAATTTTTTCTTAAATAAGATTTAAAAAATTAAAGTTCTCAAGCAAGTCTGACCATAATCGAGCTATACTACTGTGAAATTACACCAGTGAATCCTAAAGCAATTAAATGTGGAGAGCAACGAGGAATCTTAATCAGAAAAGCACATGATCCAAAGGATAAAAACTTGTCGGGAAATCTGAGACCGCGACAAAACGAATCTCTAACTACGTGACAAAACCAAAATGCAAATTCGCATACGCGCCAGGACCACCCATTTCTTGCTTTTAGTGGAAAGAGCAGAGCACACTAACATATTCATGGCTCTTGGCACAGTGACGAGCTCATATATACGTGTTCGGAAAGTTAATGGGAAGGTGGTTGGCAAGCACGGGTGGGAGTGCGGTGCCTTTGTCATGCCTCTGTGTGCATTGCCAAACATTCAAGCACCACTGCACAGGGAGGAATAGAGAAAGAGAGGCTTTTCATCGAAGTTTGACGTTTTGTTTTCTTTTACGTTTTCAGAATTATTTTTGGATAAAATATTTCTGCCAAGCTATGTTCATGCGCTCGTGTGTTTGTGCACGACTTGATTTGCCGACGAAGCTGTATTTGAACTACAGAGCGATAAATCGATCAAGTATTGGAACTAAAATACAAGATGAAGTCGTGAAACTATTGTAGAAATACCTTTGGTTTATTTTTTCTTTAATTTTCTACATTTCCATAAGTAAACGAAAATCAAATTATTTTACTTTAAGTGGAAATATTTATTTATGGTCAAGCATACTACCTATTATACATCTTTTACTTTAGAGCAAATTCATGAATTATTTTGTGATGGAGGTAAGAGTGCGTTAATTCAATGAGAGAAAATAAAAAATTTGTTAGTTAAATGGACTGGCACAGTTCGTAATTCTTGAATACTTGGTGTCTTGTATCTGATGTGATCTCGAGGAAATGGATAAAAATTTGGAATAAGAGGAACTACAAAATTACATCCACGAGATAATGAAACTTTTGGAGATATGGGCAGCGTGATAATGGGAGCTTATGTATCATTCCTTTTTTTTTACTCTTTATCGTGAATTTTCTGTTTTTCCTTCATTCTACACAAAAGATAATTTGCACGCATACAATCTAAGGTAAAATATGTGATATGAAGTAATTATTTACCGGTGTAATTAGATATGGCAGTTGTGGCTATACAGGAAGGCGGTTTTCCACTCCAGACGGCGTTGCGGCATTTGAGGACTGTGTCGCCGAAGATTTTGTACTTGCCGATCTCGCGACATCTCACTGTCACCTTCTCCCCATGTGGCACTGTGATTTCTCTCACCTGAAAAATCGAAAAAAATAAAATAAAATAAAATAAAATAATAATAATTCGGTTAAAAATTTTATTGAGGTACTAGAAAAGTACTTTATATTTTTTAGAGATATGGAGAGTTAAGAGACTTGCTGGGATACAGAGGATATTACTTTTTTTACTCGCTGATTTCTTTTTTTTTTTTTTTTTTTTTCTTAACTGTCGCTTAGGTAAAGCTTAAAAAATTGACAAATCGATTGAAAAAATGGTACGAATGAATTTTTAATTTGTTGGAACTAAAATTTACAAATTCTAAAAAAGCAAGGCATACAGGCTCATTCATTTACAAATATACTCGCTTCAAGAAGCCAAAAGCTGAGCCAGGAAGAGTAATTTTGGCGAAAAACTTTTCAACCCCAGAGAATATCGTCGTAGTTGTCGTCCCTCACGAACGTATGATTTTGTGATTTAAGCGCCAATGGCAGCCTAGATATGCAGAAGATGTGCAAGAGAACAACGTCCAAGTCGTGATCGGAATGCAGACTCGTCCTTTTGCCAAATAGAAGAAATAGTTTCTCGCACCACTACTCGCTTGATATTTCAGGTATGGATTTTTCTCAGTTGGTTGACACGCATTAAAATACCCTCTAAGCATTTGTGGTCTTGCTTACTGATCTCCCTTTTTGGCTAATAATTTTGGGGGCTGTCCAGGGGAGATTCCATATACACTCTGAATTCCCCATGTCATCCTTGAGGGGAGAAAATATCGAGGAAGTACTTTGCACAAGGTACGGACGGTTAATCGAGTTTTTTTCGTGACTTCAGCTGTAATTTATCAACGTTATGATGGTGACTTACGTTAATATTAAAGCAGATCTCAGACTCTTCTCAAATATTTGGTCGTTTATTTCTAAGCATAGATAATATGAATCTCTGAAAGTTTTTAAATTGAAATGTCTAGGTATAGCCTATCGAAGTCGGAGAGCTATTCATTACTACTGCAAAGTCACTTTATAGGTGTATGTTATTCCGTACTCGATGAATGAAATTTCATACAGAATAATTTAAACAATAATGTAACAATAATGACAGTGAAATAAAATACACCACAAATCTAAATTAGCCAGAGATAGAAGTGCTTACGTGTTGCACTATTGAACCAGAAAATTTTCAAGTTTTAAAGAACATCAGGCGTGATCGAGAATTTTTACGTGAAGAGACAGTGCACGAGATGATATGAATGATATCAAGCTGGGGTGGGGTATTCTCTGGCTCAGGAATTTGGCACTGGAATGAGATGCCTTGAGCGACAAGGTATGTCAGCGCTTGATTGGACGAGCTGAATTTTTCGCCGAGATCGGATGGAATTTCTCTTTTAAAAGGATTTTTACCAGAAACATATTTTTTTGTTCGTCATGGCAGAGCAAACAATGCATTGAGACCACCAAAATATGTTAGAATGAAGTAAGCGAATTTTCTAATCTCAGCAAAAAAAGTTTTTAACATTCATAGGCCAGGAGACTGAGACGAGAGAACTTTAAGGATTATTCGAAGAATTTTTGGCATCTTCGACTCAATCGCTTACGTATTTGATCCCGACGAAATTAGTAATAATATTTAAATAAACAAATCATGTAAATTGTATTCATTGTGAGCTGTATCTAGCATCATGAAAGTGTAAAATAAATATATCTCAAGCTGGAACAAGAATAGAAATTTTTGTTTTCGTTCAGCTGCCAAAAGAAGGTAGAAGTATACTAAATAATTTTTTATTTGAGTTTTAGTTATAAATGATAAAACATGTCTTTTATAGTTTTACAACAACAAGACTATAAATAACTATCTAAAGTAGCGATAGGGAGAAAGTAAGAATGATTAGATTAATAGTATTAGTACAGCATAACAAGGCACTTTTTCGCCAAGGCAGTACTAAAAAAGTTTCATGTGCGTTGATCACTATTTACTACCACTATTTCCTTCCTACTCTTTTACCTTCGCAAAATCTACAGTATAACACGTATGTGAAAAGTCTTCTATGTACCATTGACGAGTAAGCGAACGCTGTGGCTATCGTCATTGGGGAGAGGCGCAAAATACCGAAAGGCCTCGAGGAAAAAGAAAGGGAGGGAGAAAAAGAGAGAAAGAAATAAGTCGTGCGGGGCACGTTGCAATCGACGACGTCGGCAATTTCCACCACTGTCCGTGTACGTACAGCTGCTGCTACGGTGGCGGGGTCAGGTGCTCGTCCAGTTCTGCTATATTAAAAAAAAAGAGAGGCATAGACGCTTGAAAATACTACAAGAGGCCAGAAGAGACGAAGAAACAGCACTGGCCTGGAATAACACGGCAAAATGGGCATAGCCTTTCTTTCGAATGGGATTTGTTCGAAGGGGCACACGTAAGCACATTGTGATTTTATCACTGTATACTTTCATTTGTACAACCGTCGTTCTCTTTTACTATGCTCCACAAGTTGGTGCTCATACTTTTTGCGTGTTTTACATGACAAATTTTTTTTTTATTCATTCGTGAGAGTTTGTTTAAAGATTTGATAGTAATACACACGTATGATTAAATTTGCTAATAGAACTGTGTATGTTAATAGTGGTGCTCGAATCGTAATCTTATGGGACTTAATTTTTTTCACTTCATATTTCTCGCTTTCTGAAGCCCTTCTTTTTCTCAACGTCAATTTTTATGAAGTTCCGTACACTTTACCCCAAAAGATTTGACGTTCAATTTTTTGTCTCATCTTTTTCTACTAAGTTTCATTACTGCTGATTTTACCAGTTTTAACGTAATTTAAATTCTTTCGTTACAACTGAACTCAAACTGAACTACAATTCATTAAACAAATATTGATTGTATTTAACGTAATCGAAAGATAATAAAAATTATTTCTCTGAAAAAATTTGTGAATAATGTTACATAAGAAAGTGAAATTAAATTTTCAAAATTCATAGCTGTCAATAAAAAAGTTAGAGAGTTACGTGCCCTAAAATTAGTTCAGTTTTTATCGTAATATTTTTTTTTTTTTTTTTTTTCAGCAAAAAATTTAATGAACTCTACAAACGTTGAACGTAAAAAATTGCGAGACCTTACTGGACGAACAAAAAGGCGAAAAAAAGTTGGAAACTACGGAAGTAGGTCGCGCAAACAGCGATCCCTTTTACTGCTACTTCCTCAGCCCGCATGTTGCAGACAATTGGCCATTATAAAAAAAACTCATTCAAATACTGCTTGGATCAATTAGGGGTGCAGATAAATACAAAAAATTTCAAAACTTTTGACTGCAAAATGAGTAGAATATAAAATACTCCTACAAATTATTTAAATTCAGCACGTAAAAATCTTTTTACCTGCTTGAAAGTACATTTCTGATTACTCCTTGTACTGTTTATGGAAAACTATAGCTCCATGCATAATAACAAGTAATCAGCTTATTGTATTACAATCAAATAAATGAAATGTGTCTCTGAATTACAATACACTACTATTACGGAGAGATGAATCTTCCTTTGTATCCTTTGAAGTCAGTTTAAATAAATAATCGTAGCTTTCATTCCTCGCTGATCCATTTTGCCCACTCACGAACCACATAAAAAATTATTAACGCTAAACGAAGAGATAATTTATAATAGTTAGCTGCAGCAAAAAGGGAAGAAAAATTAGAGTCTGGAAAATAATTTTTTCGCTCTCGCAACAGCAGGAGAAAATATAATAAAGAAAAAAGAGATGTAAAAAGGCGCCTCGGTTGGTGCGAATCGTTAGCGATAGCAGGAGTTTCCTTTCTCACTGCTCTCGCCGGCCATTCGAATGCAAAGTAATCCAGTAACGCAACTGCAAAGGCAAGGCAAAGAAATTCACTGTCAAGATGAGGAAAAAGAAGGGAGAGGGTAAAAGGGCTCAGGGATGGGTTCAAGTGCCTGTGGTGGGGCTACACAATGCGCCAGCTATAGCTATCTGGACGGTTCGCCCACGAGGCGCTGCCCCCGATCCCTTTTTGCCTAATGGATTGAACCGAATAAATGCCTGAGACCTTATTTGGTTACAAATTGGCCAGTTGGCGCTTAAGCTTTAGCTATGTACGTGTATGTGTGTATATACACATGCACCAAATACCGTGGCAGTAAGATAAAAAGGGGACGCTTTCCTTTTTTCCGCAGCATCCGGTCGTTCAGGGGCAATGTATGTATATAGAACTCTGCTTACCCCTTTTTTCTTATTTTGCCTGGCTGCTTCTTTGTGTTGGAGCGTTTCGTTCAATCCATTTTATGCGATTTGACCTTTATCTATGTACAATGGGAGGTATGAATTGTACAAAGGCGCAGTGCTTAGCTGGGTCAGCCGTGACGTTGACTCGTACTACTTAAAAAGTTCTTAGCACAGCTTGGCCTTTCTTTTTAAACGCCAGGAAATCCTGGAGGTGAGTGACGATTTAAGTTAAGGGGTGAAGTACATTTGCATACTATTTGGCATAATGTTAATCTCTTGCGGATTAAGGTGATTATGTACTCCTTCAACTTTTCCTTTTTTTCTCTAGCCTTCCATGCTACACGTTTGCCTTTTACAACTGACGATAATCCTCTTAACCTTATTTTAAAAAATTAATAAATAAATAAGCAGTTAGTGGCATTTTACGTGGCTTGAAGATTTATTGGACACTTTGAAAATAATGAAACAACACAGCCGACTTGTTTCACGGCTATTTTATTCAGATATGAAAATTAAAAAAAAATTCTTGAAAACAATTAGCAATGTACAAAAAACTGGAAAACTTTAAAATTGTGTGAAATAAAAGTTGTGTTTATTAATAGCTTGACATTCACCATAATGTAAAAATTTAAAGGGTTACAAAAAAAGTTCACGAGCAAAAAGAACCAGTAATGAAAGACCAGTGTGTATAAAAGCAGTAACGAGTTTCTCATTAGTCGATGGCCGAATAAACACCAGCAGCCAAGCCAAGAGCCACAAAGAGCATTTACTCGCACGTCGTAAATACTGCCTCCGCACAAATTTGCTAGCTGCTCGTGGTCTCTTGCTCGCTTCCCCCGTTTTCGCCAGGAAATTCCAGATATCCCCGAGTGCTCGCGTACCGTAGGAGGTCGACATCCTTCCGTGATCTTTTTCCAATGCTTTATTCGGTTGGTACAGGCAAATAACTCTCAGAATTACACATTTGGAACTATTCGCCACTGCATACAGCCACGGCTCGATGGGAAAAAAGCAAAATTCAACGTGAATCCAAATACATAGGGAATATCGATGACTGAGAAGGTGGAAGGGAAGCTGCACGTTATGGGTTTTACGGGAGAATTTCGCGCGCGTCTGTCCTCCTTTTTCTCGGGAAGGAAGAGCTATTTTTCGGAAATCTATGGCGACGGATTTCCGCCTCTTCATAAATCTGTCGGCAGATCATGGCTTTTGGGCGAGTAAATGGCGAGTGAAAGTATCCGGAGATGGAGCAGATATAACCAGCAGCTCAAAAAAGGAACTGCTGCCGTTAAAAGCACGCAGTGGGGTGCCGTGTGTTTTCAGAAGTTTGGTATTGATCCATGGAAGATATAGTGATGAAAATACTTTCGATTCATGAAAAAAAAAAAAAAATAAAAAATAATTTTAGAAATGTCTGGATTACATAGTTTAATAAATGCATGAATTTGCATAGTATGAAAAACCAGAATTTAATAGGAGCATTGCCATTAAAAGAGAAGCTGTTCTCGACTCAGGGAGAGAGTTCACTGACATTTACTATCTGCGTATCAATAAACGTATACTCACCGATGTCGTGAGGTTTTTGTAAGTGACGATGAGAAGAGGCTGCAGACCCTCGAGTTTGCACCCGAGCTGTGGCTGGGACGTCGACTCGCTTCGATCTGTAACAGAAAAGGAGAAAAAATTTGAACGAATCACTTGAATTTCCCGATGTAAACGGGTTTTCTCTCTTCCTCTCGTTAGCAGCGTATAAATCACAATAACTATGAATTCGAAACGAAGCTATGCCTGACGATGGCCTATGCTTCTGATGCTACCAGGAGTTGCTTTATTGTTGTCATTAGTTGCACCAGAAGCGAAAGATTGTTTGAATTTTAGATTGACTGCTTGAGTGTCTTGTTATTTTGTTGTTTTGGAAAAAATGAAACAAATCGACAAATGTCACAAAAATCGTTTAAACACTTTCATAGTATTTTTAATGACTAGAAAATCAAGTTTGAATAGTTGTGAATTTGATACTTATTAGATCCAGTAATAAAGTCTAAAATATTAATAATGATTGGCTTAGAAAATGTGTGGTCGGGAACAATAACTGTGTTCGAATATACTTAGTAGTAAAGAATTAAAAGGAAATCAAAGTTACAAATTGATAGTTATTTACAGCTTCAAAAATAGTACATTTAAAAGTAATAAATTGAAAAGTAAAGTATTTTTTTATTCAGTGAATGGTGAAAAAAAATTAAATACTATTTCTCATAAAAAGTGTTATTTCTTGTACTTTTTTACTCATTAGCGTAGCTCAGTCAGCTAATGGGGAAAATTTGCCTCTCACTTTTTCAGGCGTGTCTATTCTTTTTCCTCGTGCACTGCTAAAGGAAAAAAAAACTAATACACGAAAAGCTCAAAGCTACCGAACAACGGTAACACCATGACTTAGTACCAGTTTTAGTCCCAGGGAGTTCCCATGGCATCAAATAACGTGCGAAAAGAGGCACCGACTCTCCGTGATATCCTACGTAAATGAACGTGAACGAAGCAACAACGCCAAGTCGAATCGACGTGGATATACGTACTTAATATATGCGCATATCTTTACAAAACAAAAGGTCATTACGCATGTGGTGCCTCGCAGCTTCACGTACAATTTTCGAGCTTTTTTGCGTGAGATTATTCTCACAGACACTCGTAATCCCTTTGAGAATAATTGCTTCTCGAAAACCCTGACCATCTCTTTCTCTTTGGGCGCACTTGGTTCCGTTGATATTTTCAAGGGCTGCCAGCCCCAAGCAGTTGATGGTAAAGTAAATCGAGGGAAGAGAGCGAGACGTTAATTAATTTTGTCGAGATTATTTTTGCAGATAAATGACTCTACTGTGGTCTCATTTTCTAAGCCTCTAGTTGTAGTTATTTCTACTTCGTTTCTCATCTAAAATTTTAAAGCATCGTGGGGTTGTTAATCTTTAAATTTTTTATAACTTTACTAATAGGGCACAAAACAAACGAGTTGAAGGTAACAATGTAAAGTAAATAATTTTTGCCGCTCGAATAAAATATACGTAAGTAAATGTTGTTGAGCATAGAAGAGCCAATTTTCTTTGCCAAATAGCGAAAGAAATTCTGATGTGGATTAAGCGGTGGGTCGAGAGGAGATCGAACGAGATTGACTAAATTAATCGATCATCGGATCAGTGTTTGCTTGACCTGATTTGCTTTGGTTGCTCTTTTTTACCCAAAACACACTCGTTATCTTTGTCTCTCCGAGCTTTCGATACATTCGAGCGTAATGTGAGCTTTTGGTGAGCCAACCACAAATCCGTACGAACGAATGGCAGATTGCACTTCAAACCATTAAAATTTTTACTTATTAAACACTACAATCGTTAAAAAAAATAAACTGAAATCAATTGCAGAATCATCACTGATTACTTTTATATACAAATAAAACAAATCTTGTCATTTCCAACAGTCACGCACTCGTGCACGCATGCGAGAAATTTAAGTATTATCCGAAATTAAAAATTTTCACACTTGATCGTCGGAGAGTAAAATATTTATACATCACACCCATAAATAGGCTCACATGGGTGAGAAAATAACTTTTTATTTGATCACATGACAGAATAAGACAGTGTGGGTCTGACTGAAAAAAACTGAAAAAGTAAGCACTAAAAAAGAGCCGCGAAGCATCCCCTGAAAATTGTCTCGTTTTTAATTATCTCAGTGCATTAGAGCGAGCGAGAACTGCCAGTCATCTACGAAAAGCTCCTTCTTTTGACGATCGAGGAATTTATGCAAACGAAAGTTTTAAGGATGAAGTTTTCTATACTTACACACTATGAAATGAAATAGAGGGAAGGTATTGTACATGTGGAGGCTTTTTAGCAAAGTTTAAGCGGTCGACTGAGACGGAAAGTTTCTGTTTAGCCACGGGAAATTCGAGCTCTCTTGCTGGTAGAAATACTCAACTTTGTTAATTAATTTTTTTTTCTTATTAGTTGGATTCCATCCAACAACCCTTAATTAATTCTGAAAAAATAGGTGCACAGTAAGCAGACAAGCGAAAAAAATTTTAGATTCCAAGAGATAAAAAAACTTTAGCATAACGAAGATGTGGAGTGGTAAAACAAACCACATTATTCATGCATTACATGTACGTATGTCAGTCAAGCGTAAAATCGAATGACGAGCGCCTAAAATGAACGAAGAGCACGCGCGTGCGGACGAGAGGCTTTACTCTGCTGATTCGAAACTATTGTCATGCCGAGAGAGGAAAGAGAAGCATTGCTCGATGGTATGCAGTGCATACATGGAGAGTCATGAATAAAGTTAATCGAAAATTCCTCTCGTACGGGTATTCGTACACGATGCTTTGACTTCTTTGTATTATACTTGATTGCTCTTGCACACAAGTGGCGTTTGTTCAAAATTTGAGCTACTGAAATTCTATCAAAATTTTTTCTATGTACCTTAATTTGATTTAATTAAATTTTGAGAGTTTCACTACATGAAAGTGCTTTCCTTCATTATTTGAGCATGTAAGTGCACACATAACAATTCGAAAAAAAGTGCTCTAGGCAAACGGCTGCTGACTAGTCCACCGATAGTTTTAGCACAAAGTACCAAAGACTGATAAGTGGTCCAATTTTTTACTACACTATACTTTTTGTTACTTTTGAATAAAACAACCAAGTATATGGCACATGATACATTCTCCTACAGTGCAACATGAATCACCATTTCATAGAATAAAGCTTAAAAAAACATTTAAAAAAATCAAATTATTAATAAGAGAGTTAACTCAAGACTACAATGCATGGGTACTTAATTCATTGATTTATTGAACCAATAGATAAATCCAATAGCCTGGCTCTGAATGCAGGAGTGCATTCAAGCCGCTCCTGACTTAAGTACACGTGTACTACGTTTACTTGCAAACAAAACACACCCACGTGTACACAAGTGTACACGCGCACAGGCGACATGAGTCGATAACTGCATTGTCTGATACAGAGTCTCCGGTACATCGATCTTTGGAAGAGGTGATATTGATGCGTCGATGGAATTTACCACTATTAGGTACTACTACTTAAGTAAACCTCAGAGACAATGGTATTTTGAGCAATTGTGGGAGAAACTCTACTGATTGATTTTAATGATCTGTACTGAGTATTAGAATATAATCGTCTGTTTGGAGTACATGTTGGTTTTGTTAGATACGTTGATGACAATAAGAATAAGTAGGATTTGTTCTCCTATGATTTTGGGTATCGGCAGCTTCAAGATTTCATTTTCTGTAATTTTAAAGATTGCTTATGTTTTTGGTGAATTTATGAGAGAAGGGATCACTATTCGCATAGATTCAATAAATGTTCTTTAACTCGAGGATAGTAGCATAAAATTTTCCATTCAAATTTCGATACCCCTTGATTAACAGCCAACTGAGAAAACTTATGCAAACTTTTTTCACAAAAACTTTAATAATCATAAACATTTTAGAATTTTCGTACTTTATAATTACGAAATGAAAAAAAAATATCTCGTTAAGTTGGTGTAAAACGACACCGAATAAAACCTTTCTGAAAACAGCACAAAATTACGAGAAAGAAAGCTAGCTTTTACTTTAATTACAGCTGCAAATGTACACGTAACACGATACATAAAAAGCAAATTTAATTATCTGAAAACTCCAAACACGAACGTAAGAGTTGAGTAATGTTATTAGCTAACGTAACAAATGAAAGTGGCCTTTGGATTACAAATTTCTCGGTTCCAGCAATTTGCAAGAAAACAAATGAAAAAATTTCAAACATGAATTCTACACACCTTTTGAGTAGCAGAAGCCAGTGCTGGTGAGCACAAGCACAAAGCACAACACGCCGAACATCAACTAAACTTGCTGCACCAAAGAAACAATGACAAAATAAAAAAAAAAAGAGAAAAATTAAACTAGAGTTCCCCTAGACTATGCGCACAAACTCAGCTTTTCTCAACAGACTCACGGTGGCATTGCAACTTCGAGAAGTAAAATGTTAAAAACATGTGAATTGATGTCCACACTACGTTGTACGTGAACATTGTCAACAAAAAGAGTAACTAGCTACGTGAAAAGTCGAAGCGTCCAGCCTCGCAATCTGCCCTTGCGAGACTGACGCTGGTGTTGTGCCACCGCTGCGCATACACATGCCGCGCGAGACGAGAAAGGGAGAGGGGATGGGGTGGTTGTACGACCCCCCTGAGCTTCCCCTCGTATCTTTTCGACTCTGGGCGCCGCGCAGATTCAACCACCTTCTCTTTCCTGCCGTCACCACCACCGGCAGGAAAGCTCCTTTCTCTTTCGTTCTCGCCCAGCTCCGTCTCACTCGCGTATCAGCAAAAAGAGATAAGCTTCTTGGGTTTTTAAGGGTGGGCAGTGGAAACCCGGAGGAGCTTTAAAAATTGCTCTTTACTCATTAACTTTCCTCTAAAATTCGTGAAAGGAAGGACAGCTTGTAATTGAGCAAGAGATACAATCACCTTTTAAATCGTTTCATGTTCCCTCGCTTGGTGTCTATAAGTTCGTATACCTTCTGAGACATAGAAAGACCGAAACTCCCGCAAGCACACGAGGTGAGTTATGCTCGCAGAGGGCGGTTATTGTTACCGTGGCACGCACTTCTGGGAATTTATGTTCAACGCTTAGTTCAAGTGTCTGCACCGCACACACGAAGGAATAGAGGAAGGAAAGTACTGTTAAGATTTGACTCTTTGTCTCTTACTCGCAAGCTTTTAATCGTTGAAGGGTAGGAGGGGTTGTGAAGAATGAATGCGTTAGCGTATTTAAATTTCGCGAGAGCCAGAGGTAGCAAAGAGAGCTACAACAGCTTGTAGTTTGACAATTTCGTTTTTCTCAGAAAATTTTGTTTTCAAATCCACGAAGAGCCATGGGAAGTCGTAGAAAAAGTAAAATGAACAATTTTTTAACTCATTTATGTGGTATTGAAAAAGTTAGCTTGTGAGAGAGGAGCTCTTGGTGCAGTTTTGTAGTAGAGCTTTGAGAAAAGCTCGGTTATTGCTACGTAACGTCACCGAGAGCTTTTATACACCCATACCCAGACGTTGAATTTCGTGGTTTAATTTACGAAGTATTAATACATAGAGCGCCATATTTTTTTCCCTTGCCAATGGATTCTCTCGCGTCGGGGCCAAAGGAAAATTAAAAAAATTTCCCCACGGTATGCCAACGCGTAATTAAACTTTTTCACTTTTCCTCTTTTCCCCCACCCCCTGCGAGTCACAGCTCTTTGAGTCTGCATTTTTATGTCGGCGTTTAAAATGTTAATTTCATCCTCGATAAAGATTGAATGTCAAACTGGATTGTTCAATAAATTACCCGATCCGCTTACTCACTAATACGCACATAAATGATGTCTGGGCACATAAAGGCGCGAGAGACAGTTCAACAGCAGCCTCGTCGCCAGTCGGTCAGCCTCTCTCGTTGTAGCTGGAGGTACTGTCTTAATTTTTCGCGATTCAATGGTGCCGCTCTCCGGACGATTGGGGCCGACAAAACTTGCTGCTGCACCATTCTCGTATACGTCACCAAGTCAAAAAAATTATTTAGCAGTTCACATTGTAAGTGTTCCAAATAGTACTGACTGAGTCTCTGTTCGGTCCAAGTACAATATTTTTATGGCAATAACAAAATCACATTCCCAAAAATACTGTCTAATTTTTTTACTCTGCTGATTCGAAACTATTGTCATGCCGAGAGAGGAAAGAGAAGCATTGCTCGATGGTACAGCCAAGCCAAGAGCCACAAAGAGCATTTACTCGCACGTCGTAAATACTGCCTCCGCACAAATTTGCTAGCTGCTCGTGGTCTCTTGCTCGCTTCCCCCGTTTTCGCCAGGAAATTCCAGATATCCCCAAGTGCTCGTCTACCGTAGGACATCCNATTTAAATATGAGATCTTAATTCAAAATGATTCTTCAGAAAAAATCTTTTTTACACTACCAGTTTTCAAATTTTATTACAGGCTTGAAGCAAAGAGAAATCATGCTTCAATGTAAGTAGTTTTCTTTTTTTTCCAAAAGCTTTAAAGTATCAGTCAAAATATCATCCTTAGAGACCCGCTAAATGTGTGGGTGATTGGTGCACTTTCACCCACAGTATATACACAGTATATACCGATGCATACAGTGGTGGGCCAATTACCTAAGTAAACCTGTATAGGTGCGTATGCAGTATGTACTCTCTAGCCAAGTTGTCAACCCAAGCATCGTATACGTATAAGGTAATACTTCCGTACAACCGAAGCTCTCACCGCAATCAGCGTCTAATCTAGTTTGCTGTACGCACATAATCGAATATAAGCTTTCTGTCGTCGTGTGCGACGCTATCTCGTGCTTGCCTGTATAAAATGGGTTATGGGGTACTGTTGGTACTCAAAAGATTTAAAAAAGAGGCGGAGTATTGATAAAAAAAAAAGATATGGGAAGTGAGAACGAAGAGACTTTGAGGTGCGCTGGAGATGGATGTGATGATTTCGTATTTGGTAAATTGAATCTTCTGAGTTATTGACGTCATATTCAACGCAGTTTAAGGAATATGTGGCAAGATGTCATGTGCACTATATTCGTTATATTTTATTTATTTGCTGTGAACTGTTTAAGATGAAATTCAATAAAATTCTTCAATTCAAACGTCATAATACATGTATTTTGTGAACCAGCTCTCTACATACATCTTGATAATCTTTATCAGTCTAAAAAAATCCCAAATCTAAAACAGAATGAGATTGCAGATTAACGTTGGGCCGATTGGAATGAACAATGTATGGGAGTCTTTGTTTGAGAATCAGCTTTGCACAAGTTTGTCATATTTTAGGCCAAAGTATGTGGTAAGTCTGACTGCAGTTCAGAATGAATTAATTGAACTCTATTGTACATAAATACGACCACAAAGAACACTTGCAACAATTTTTATCCTTTGTTTTCATCGATTTTAGTCTCTGCGGAATTGTAAAACAATAGAAAGGAGAAACTCGAAGTTGCCCGAGCGTTAAGTTATATTCGTGTCAAAACCATAAATCCATACGCCTGTCTCGCATCAAGGGGTGAAAATCGGCGTTTAGAGAGAGAAGCCTGACAAGTTCATCGAACCGCAAACTGAATCCTCACAAGACGAGCATAACGCATAGGTGGGGTACAAAGAGAAAAAAGAGAAGACGAGTCCCATCCGTGCAGGAGACGTCCTTAGTCGTCAAACGCATCATCTGTTCCCAAATTCATTCAAATTGAAAATCCGAGTATGGGATGTGTATAGCCTCTTCCTGCAAAACATCTATACAATTCATCATCTTTGTGGGTCTGTCTGTTTCCTTCTTTGAAGATGAATCCCACGTGTTTGACGGTCATCGGGGCTTTTGAGGATTCGGGGACCCCCTAATCGTCGGATCATCGGTAGCCTTTCAAGTGTGTATTTACAAATGAACGAGATGTACAGATAAAGTTACACATCACCAATGGAATTGTATGTCAGAGCTGCGTTTACGATTTAACAGTAAGAGAGAATGGGTTGGTGCGATTAACTGGAGAAGTAGTTTTTCCACAAAAATGATTCGTTTGGTGATACATTGTAACTTGCTCGAGGGCCATTGAAAAATATCAGTTGCGTTGGCTGAGAGATCGGATATACTCTTTGGATGAGGGAAATTTAATTGGATTCAACAAGTAAGGAAGAGGAGACCAGAGTTGCCTGATCCTGTAGCTCATCCGCAGGTACTCCTCGCGATACTTCATCCCTGACGCTTGAACTTATAACTAACGTGCCCACGCGTACAATATACGAGTAGAGAGAGACAACCCCATTGTTTTCGCTGGCAGTGGTGGCTATAGACGCAAACTCACGTGAATATAATATAAAGACGGGGTTGCTCACGTACCAGGGCGTGACGAAATCCAATTTTGAGAAGTTAGGCAGGGGAGAATCAGATAGGAATTAGTTGCGCTGAGAGCAGAAAGAGTAGGAGCCATGGATGAATGAGTGGACGGATGGATGAGCCGAGTTTATTGTACGTACAGAAGACGGAAAACACGAGCACAGAGTATATTATGACCTTTCGCACGCGCTTTTCAGTGAGAAACTGACGGGAGCTTGTTATTGTTGTATACAAAGCGAGAGTTCGTCGTGTATGATGGAATAAAATAGTTAACTTAAAGAAAATAGAAAGCAGTAAATGCTTGACTTATAGGTACATTATTAAACAATATGATAACACAAATAATTATTTCACTTGTTCTTGCATTAGATATAAGGTACAACTCAAGAGATAAAACTTTATTCGAAATATTGGTAAAATGTTTAAGAAATTTCTTTATTCATTTTTCATGACAAGTTTTTATTCCCCATAAAGTGGACATTTTGGTAATAAGTAGCGGTGATGGGAGGAATCTAGAGGCTCATCTTGTTAGCCATTATAAATATGTGCGATTGTTAAACCCAGAAGTCTTTCTCAATATTATTAAAAAAATTCGTTTAAAAGTCATAAAAAAAAACAACAATAATGTAAGTAATTTATAGATGATTTAATAATACTTTTGTTGGCGGGTGTCGGACTCTGAATTTGGTCAGGGAAAAAGAAAAAAGAAGGAGAAGAAGTATAAATACGTGTTGAAAGGAAATGTTGCATTTACATCCCGAGTGTGCGAGACAGGTCAGGAGCAATAAAACTTTCTTCCGTCCCTCTCCGCATTTGTCTGCTTGCATCGCACTGCACCGCACTGTCCTTATGTCTGCAGTTTCAAAGATTAATATTCCTCGTGAGGTCGAGTTCGGATTAAGAGGAAGAGAAAGAAGAGCAGAAAATACGCTCATGTGTACACGAGCAGCAGAGGCCGTGTAATAAATCAGAAAAATATTCAAAACAACTGGTGTATGCACGGCTCTTGTACTTCTCTTTCAACCTTAGTGTGTCTTTCTTTGCTTACTTTTCGTTTTTTCACTTCATCATTTCTATTTTATTCCGCAAACTCAAGCTTTGCGTTCGAAGCTGTTTTATTTTTTAAAATATACATATATATGTATTTTTTTAATACTCTTTTCNCCCTTATCACAAAGAAAGCCCCGCGCAGTGGAAGCGTGCCT